TTTTCATTTGCTACGAATACTGAATGATCTCTCCGTGTAGAACAATAATAAAAATGATTAAGGAGATAAAATAGTGAGAACAAAAGTGGTGGATTTTTTTCGAACTATTCCTCTTTGCGTTTTTACCGGCTGGCCGTCGATGGTGAATGGTATTATCCGAAGAAAATAAATGGACCGGCAATTGAATTTTGTTTTCGACGGGAATCGCCGATACACAGAGAATAGAGAGAGAGATAGAGAGGGAGAAAGAGGGAGAACGCGTGCGCTTCGGTTACGGTGAAATTTATGAAGCATTTCAACGTTTGCGTTGCGTTGCGCTGAAAGTCGGCTTGGTAATCGTTATCGATATCGAGCTCGGTCGTTCGAAATATTATTAACTGTTCCCGGTGCAATTATTCGATACCAGAAGAGTTAACCGGTTTCCTCGTAGTTCAATTCTCTTCCTCTCGAAATTCAGAGTAATGGCGTTCGTGTGTAGTGGCAGCGTTTATTGTTTGTAAATTCCTTTCGAAGTCGAGTGAAACGAACAGTTTTTCAACTCAACTTCATAGAACGAGTTCCTTAACAATTTTCATGAGCGTTGAAATTCTACCATGCAATTATTTTCAGATTCCAAAACAAATCGATTTCACGCTTTATGATTTCAAAATTCAGTAACAGAATAAAAGAAAATAGGCTTTAATTGAAATTTTTATAAACATGATTTTGCTCTGTTTATATATTATTCAACGGAACGAAGAGAATTCGCGTTCTTTAGATTTAATGCGTGGTTCTCATAAACAAGTATACAACATTACTCGTGCTTCACACTTTATTAAACCATAACCTAGTTTCACTTTATTAGAACCTAACCTAGGAATTTATAAAATACACACTTTCACTACAGAACAATTATGTGAAATGTACATAGAACTTATTATCATGATTAATTTTGAAATTTCATCAAAGAACAACAAAAGTGAATAGGATAAATGTCCCACTTTCTATTGGCCTATTTTTCTCTAATTTAAGATAATATAATAATTTTAAGTAA